CGCTGTCCTGGGGAAGAGGCCCCTGCTGCCCACGGGGCCCTCTCTGTGCGCGTGCGCATCCCCTTCCTTTGCTGCCGGTGGGATTTGCCCCAGAGGCCCCTTTCCTCCACGCTTCACAGCCCTCTGCTGATCTTTTCTTTGTTCTCCACCACCCGTCCTGGGGTGTGTGTGTGAGGGAATCCCCAGTCCGCCGCCCCCCCTTTTCCATGAGACCTACATCAAGGCTGGATCTCCGGGGGTTTCCCGCTCTCGCTGCTCCCGCCTTGGAGGGGCCGAGCGCCTTCCGCCCTCCGCTGGGTTGCTGGGGTTTTGCTTCCTTGCCTGCGGATAGGAAGAGAGGCACACGGAAGGCGGGGGGGGGAGGCAGATGGGGGGGGAGTGACCCGAGCAGAGAGGGTGCTGGGCAGAGGGGCCAAGAGCCTGAGGACCCCTAAGGCCAGGCAGGATCTTCTCTCTCTATGACTCCTTCCCCTGAGAGTGCCGCTCCGTCTTGGCAGGCGAAACAGCGGAAGAGCATTTTGGGGTCTCTCTCTTTCTCTCTGTATGTATGTATATATATATATATATAGAGAGAGAGAGCCTTTAGCCCTTGGGGAGCGAAAGGGTTCCTCCGCAGATTTTGTGAGCCCTCCGTTGGGCCCTAGAGAGGGAAGGAGGGTGCTCAGCGATGACCCTCTGCTGACCCTCCCCTCTCCCTCTCCCTCCCCTCCTGCCTCCACCAGGAACTCGGTCACCAACTCCACCACCGCTTGCTTTGAGCCCAGCCTGGATTACTGTGTGGTCAAGATCCCGCGCTGGGACCTCAGCAAGTTCCTGCGTGTCAGCACCAAGATCGGCAGCTCCATGAAGAGCGTGGGTGAGTGGCCGAGCCCGGGAAGGCCTGCCCCACATGGTCTAGCACACGGTGACCCTGCTGTGCCGATAGGCCGGAGAGCCAGATGGTAGAGTGGTTAGAGTAAGGGATCTCGTCCTCCCTTAGCCATGATGCTCACCGTGTGTGTGTGTCTGTGTCTGTGTCTGTGTCTGTGTGTGTGTGTGTGTGTGTGTGTGTGTGTGTGTGTGTCTTGGGCCCATTGCCTGGTTTATCTGGTTGAGCTGTTGTTTGGTGGACCAATGGGGCGGGGGGGGGAGCCACCAACGCTGCCTTGAGATGATGGGTGGAAAGGATGCGGGCAGAAGTGCAAGCAGGAAGGAGACCATGCCATTCTGGCCAGCCTGTGGGGCGCCTCTCCTTCGCGCTGAGGCTTTTGTGGGTTGCTGGCCCTTTCTGGCTTGGGGGGCCGAAGGAAGCCGGCCCAGAGGCTGCCCGTGGGTGCTGCCGCTGCCCCCCCCAAGGACCCCAGACAGACACGGGATGGCCCCTCGGACCGTTCCGGATGGGCTGGTGGTTTGTGGTCTGGGCCTCCCTCTGCTTACGGGGGGAGGTTCTTCCTGCTTGCCCCTTGGCAGCCTCACCCCGTGGCACATGGCTGCTTGGTCTGCCCCAGTTAATTGTGTAAAGAAGGTGTGCAAAGATCACTTAATTCCCAGCCCTTCTCTCTTCTCCATTCCTTCCTCCCATCCCTCTCTCTCTCTCTCACACACACACACACACACAGGGGAGGTCATGGCCATCGGGAGGAACTTTGAGGAGGCCTTCCAGAAGGCTCTGCGCATGGTGGATGAGAACTGCCTGGGCTTTGACCACACCGTGAAGCCGGCCTCGGACATGGTAGGCGTGGGCGGACCCGGTGGGCTGAACTCCCAGGGCGCCGGCGCAGGCGCTGGCAGCCTCCCTCCCTCCCACCTGTTGCTGATGACGTCCGCCTCCTCTTCCCTCCTCGGCTTCTGCCTGCAGGAGCTGGAGACCCCCACGGACAAGCGCATCTTCGTGCTGGCCGCCGCTCTGTGGGCCGGCTACTCCATCGAGCGCCTCTACGAGCTCACCAAGATTGACCGCTGGTTCCTGCACAAGATGAAGAACATCACGGACCACGCTCTGCGCCTGGAGTCCTATCGCCAGGCCGAGCCGGGCACCATGCCGCCTCCTGTGCTCAAGCTGGCCAAGCAGCTGGGCTTCTCGGACAAGCAGGTGGCCCAGGCAGTGCTCAGGTACGTGCAGGGAGGTCGCTTGCACGGGGTGGGGTGGGGCGGGGTGGGGTGGCGGGCCCTGCGTCAGTGTGGTCCTTCGTCCCTGGAGGAGGGGGGCATTTCCTCCGCAGGGAGCCCCTCCTTTGGCCTGGGCGGGCGAGGGCCGGACAGAGAAAGCTGAGGGGGGTGTGTGCCTGGGAGCAGGCGGAGGTCTGGCCTGGCCCAGCCGAGATGTGGCTGCCTCTTTGGACACACAGCATGCTGGGGATGGTAGTCTGTGGCCCCCACCTGTAGTGATGGGGGGGGGAGCTAGCTCTCCATCAGAGCCGGCGCCTTGCTTTGCCCTCTGAGGCCCAGGAGGCGCTGCGGCCGTGAGATCTTGAGGAGCCTCCGTGCCCTGCCGGCCCTTCTCTGCTGTGGCCGAAACTGAACAGGTCTGTGGCGTCTCCAGCACAGAGCTGGCGGTGCGGAAGATGCGCCACGACCTGAAGATCCTGCCGGTGGTGAAGCAGATCGACACGGTGGCCGCCGAATGGCCGGCCCAGACCAACTACCTCTACCTGAGCTACAACGGGACCGAGCACGACCTGGCCTTCCGGGAGCCCCACGTCATGGTCATCGGCTCCGGCGTCTACCGCATCGGCAGCAGCGTGGAGTTCGACTGGTGCGCCGTGGGGTGCATCCGGGAGCTGCGCAAGGTGAGCCCCTCGGGGACGGGTGGGGGCCTCGCCCCCCCCAGCTGCTTTGTCCTGCCAGGGCTGACATCCAGCTACCCTGGGCGGAGAGGCCTAAGGGGGGGGGAGGCCTAATCTTCTGTGTTCCTGTGACCCCTTGCTCCATGGGGCTGCCTGCCTGGTGGGGACCCTTTTCGAGCTTCCTGGGTGATGTCTGATGCCCCCTTTGCCTGGTAGCAGAAGGCCGGGGGGGGACCTTAGCAGGGAGCCCCCCCCCACAAATGCCAAGCCCTCAAAGGATGTTCCAGGTGGACGGCGTACCCCTCTGCGTGGACTCACCCACGGCTGCTTTTACAGGGCTGGGGGGGGCGGGTTCAGGGGCTTGCTGTTTGTCCCCTTGTGCTGCCCATCTCAAAGGCAAGGCTGAGGGGGGGGTGGCAGCGGGAGCAAAGGAACGACCCTCTTCTCTTCCCTCGGCCTCTCCCGTGGCAGATGGGCTACAAAACCATCATGGTGAACTACAACCCGGAGACTGTGAGCACCGACTACGACACGTGTGACCGGCTCTACTTTGA